CTGTAATCCTAGGATCTATAGATTCTAATAAGAATTTTGTGAGGGCCTGTTTAATCCGGACACCGGGATTTTTGTGGGAAATGCTTAGGGCTGTAGTTTTTAAATTGATTTTTCCTCTTTTCGATTTTCGATTGAATTTTACCCTCCTCAGAGACAAAACTTTTGAGTGATTTCGAATTCGGATTTCGAATTTTTACAATTTTGAGATGGCGCACATACATCGAACAGATGAAATGGTGGGTACTAACTGGAGATATGCAGCCCAGGATCGAAGAGCCTGACATAGTTGCACTCGGCATGTGGGAGCATTCTAGTAACATCACTAACATGGAATACCCATACTGATAACTTAGAGGGGCCTGGTTTTTGTGCTTTTAATTATCATATTTTTGGAAATAGATAAGTCTTCCCACTTTCTACAAGTAGGAAGTTAGTGTAAGAAAGGAAACAAGTTAATGTATTTGGTCAGAATAAAAACAGAACTGAGAAAAATGGAGGTGAATTTTCGAAATTCGGAAAGATCTTAAAACAATTTGAAAGTTTCAACTATTCCGAGCGAGTATATTCGTCGGGATTGGCATCAAATTCACCCGAGAGATACCGGAATGTATTGGAATGCAACAGTCTTTCCGGGGGCAAGGGACAAGCTCAGAATCGTAAAATTTTGGGTGGAAAAGCGGCGGGAGCCGAGAGATACCAGGATATACTGGAACACGAGGGCCTTTCCGCAAATAAGGGACAGGCTGAGAATCGTAAAATTTTGGGTGGAAAAGTCGCGGGAAAACGCCGATAAAAATACTGCTTGAATTTGAAATAATCCTGATGCTCGAGATCTGGGGGTACCCGGGTGCTGAGGGAAAAATCAGAAACCCCTCCGTAATTCACGCTCTGAGGATTACAGAGGGGTTCTGACTTTCTAAGAGAAGCACGAGCACATCTGTATTACTTTCCGAATTACTCCCCTCTTTAGTTTTTTCGATTTTTAGTTTTTACCTTTTTTAACAGTTTTTTAGTCCAATCATTGTAAGTCGGGATACAATCCTCTTTTTAGTATGTGAAAAGTTGAGGCGAAAAATCAAAAACCATCGGCTTAGCTCGAGGTCACTTGCCTCTCTTCCCTCACTTTTGAGGTCAGTAGCACGTGCTTTCTGAGTGGCCAGTAGTAGCAGAGGTCATCTTCTTGGTTTGGACACACCCCGGGATGGGCTTCTTTTATTTTTCTCTCATTTCTCTCATTGGCCAGGACATCCGTCCACTGGGGCAACTGAAGAAGGTGCGATTGCATCTTCTCAGTGTCTTCCAACACTCCAATACTGTCATCCAAGCGGTCGTGGTTGTTGCGCTTCAGAAGTCGTCACGTAGGAGATCGTCCAAGAAATCCTAGAAATCCCGGTATATCCGAGTTCTTGTTCTTCTAAAAGAAACTTCCTCATAGTTATCGAAAACCTTAAGCAAAAGAACTTGGGGCTGTCTGTGTCCCAGTAGCCGATAGGCTGAAGGATGCTTGAAGTGTCTCTTCGTGACTCTACTGACAGTTAGGCGCATAGTCCGATGAGGGATACTTTCAAGTGATCATTAGAGAAAGTAAAATTTACCAGTATGTAGCATAGATGTATCACAGTAACCGATCTCAGCAACTCGTAACTGCTTAATTAGAATAATTGCATAAGTTATAAATTCATAGTTCGTTTCTCCAAGTTAACAACTTATTTGCTCATTTTCTTCAAATTGCTACTGGTCAGTCTTGCCATTTTTCTGTCAGAAATTATTATCTCAGCGGTTCTCTCGATACAAGCACTTGAAAAGGCCTTACTGCATTCAAACATGTCTTCTTACACATGATACTCAGACTGATCCCTTATCTCTCACTCCAAATATTTAGCCTTTTGAGATCTTGGTATCTGTCGAACGTCATCACCTCGTCTCATTCGCTGTTTCTTCGGGGAAAAAAAGAAATTTCATGTGTAGATATCGAGATGATCAACGAAAAATTAGAAAATTTGAAGCGAAGTGGACCAGAAGTGAATCGTAGCATGATGAATGTTTGGAGATACCACTCCAGCTGCTTGGGCAGTTTTATCCGGATAATCTTAAAACCGTCGTGTAATCAACATATCCACATGATGGTAACGGATTCGACGGTCACCTTCAGTGGTCAATTGGACTGGCAACATGGACAGCGGTGCCAGGCACAAATCATCCCTTCCTGAGCCAGTTTTATCCGATTTGTACTGCCTCATCACGTACAGATCTCGTCAAAACATGCACAAAGAGCTGTTTTTTGTCCTTCACAAGTACCATTCGCTGACTCCCAGAAAAGCAAACTCCTCCTTACGTGTCCGTCCCACTCACCTCGGATTTCTGTCGTGGGCGGGGCGACGATAATCGAGGCAGTATTTGTCCGGAGGGAGGGGGCGGAGTCACGCTTATGCTACCTGTCTTTTTGATACGTGACTAGTTGAGGGTGGCTGTACTGATGATTCCCACTGCAGCTCACATCAGATGCTGCTCTGTCTGTGTTTACAGCTAAGGGATGAAACATAGATTGCAAATTTACGTATACCTTACAATATGTGTTTTTCCAACTCTCTTACTAGAAAGAATTAGTCTAAGCTTCTGTAGCCCCGTTGCAGTCCCACGTCAGCGTTTAATTTCTCCTCCCTTTTGACGTGACGCTTTTCACGATTGTGCGGATTTTATCAAAAATGACGTTCAAGTTCTGTTTCAGGCAAATTATAATATTACTTGTAAAGTGGAGCTAAGCTATGGTAAACGTGACGTGGTAAATTGATCTATGTGTTTTGGTAAATTGCGTGACTGTTGACAGAAACAACAATGTCTTCATCGCGTGCCGCAAGTTCCAACTCGGAATCGAGCGTGGAAATCAGTCGAGAGGGCAGCGATCCGTTCAGTGTGGAGCCAGCGCGTCACATCACACGAGAAGGCGCGTCTCTCTTACATCCATAGAAACCAAATTTCACGTTAAAATCCCGATGAGCCTTACAGTAGCTCGTCATTCTCTTTTTACAGCTCAGGGATGAAACACACTCTGCTTACTCGCATTTTCATCTACAAAATGGTATCTGCTTCAAGCCCGCTAACCTTATAATTCAACGTTCAATTTTACGAAGCGGATGTAGAGTACAAACCGCTAAAAAATTTCTCAATAGAAAGGGTTAGGAGAGAATTCTTTCTAAAATTTAGAATGGAGAAATTGGGCAAAGAACTTCGGGAATGGGCTTCTGCGTTTTTTTTATTAATATAAGAATACAAAAATTTTGTGAAAAAGCCCCGGCTATACATCCAATGAAAACCTAACGACCGGTTTTTCCTAGGGTAAGTGAGAAATCTTGGTAAAAAATTGGAGGAGGGAGGGAGCGATATTACTTGTTAAGATCAAAAAATTGTATTTGTCTATTAGAGAAGCAGTTCTTGATCAACACACTTACTAGTAAAGTGCTTCTTCGGAAGGGGAATACCTGCTTTTGTGAAATTTATGATCGTCTCCAGAAAGAGTGAATTGACTGCTTAATTCTCTTGGATAAATGATGCAGGGCGATCCCATATCACCCAAACTTTTTATGGGCCTCCTCAAAATGGTACTGCGGAAGTTGTGTCGAAAAAGTAGTCTGGAGATCAATGGCGAGCACAACTGAGTCATCAACGCTTCGCGAATGGCATAATTCTGGTTAATAACTACGGATGACTTAATTCTTATTACTCTCAAGTTAAATGAGATGCTGAAGGGATTTAACACATGAAGTAAAGAAGTGGGTCTGAAAATCAGTGCATCAAAAATGAAGGTAATGCAAAATGCCGATATGCCTGCGGCAAGTTTGCAGAAAGGCGCTATTGTCTTGGAAGAAAATTTTGGCCTTGTTTCTAAAGAGGCGCATAAATCCGCTGGCCTGTATCTTGAATTAATTATGCCCACCTTTTCTGATCTTGCCAAATTTCCTGTATCTTATAATAATTATATCCAATTTTTCTAGTCTTGCCAAATTGCCCTCGAAAAGTCTCATTTCTGCATATTGAAATTTTTACATCTTTGAATATTAGGTTTACTGGATGTTCGTCTTCGTTTAACATTTTTCTTGTAATCCTAGAATGCGCAGATTGGCACCTTCCAGCTTAACCTCTTAGTGTCAAAAGGCGTAAAATTTTTTTGGAGAATAGAAATTTTGTGAAATTTAGCTAAAAAAGCAGAAATTTTGACTGAGATGCTGAGCTGTGCTGGAAAAACTGATGCGAAAAGAGGACCTTAATAGTGTTTAGCAGCGATCTCTGACAAGCCAAGAAAAGCTTTTTTCCATTCCCTCCTTTGCTATTCCTTCACTGCCTCATTTCTTAAAGCTTTTGTTTCAAAACGTCGCCGTCACATTTAGATTTTGGGCGGAGAGTCAGATATGAATTACAGTTGATGCAAGTAATCTGAATAATTTTACTTACCTAGGCCGCCTTTTTCTCGAGTTATATAAAAGACTTAAAAAGATATTTCTGGACAAAGGTTAGTAATTAGAGAAAGATGGAAAGACAAGTTCAAATTAAAAAGGAGCACAAGGCATTATTTGTAAAAATTTTATTATAAAAAAAATTTTCCCAGTAATTGTTAACAGAAAAATTTTCCCAACTTTTTAAGAATAACTTTTTGTATAGAAAAAATAGGATTTTAACTCGAGCCTCGCCCAATATATTATTTTTTGAACAGTAATTCCAGCCTCAGCATATTATATGTTCATATTTTACATGTATTATTTTGCACAATAAATCCAGTCCGTGGCGAGAGGTTCTTTTTCTGTACCTTTCTTTCTCTTATTCCTAAAAGGAGGAGGGAAAAAAAGGGTTCGAAGGTCCCAGTGGATACTAGAGGTCACCAACAGGCCATCATCCATCAATGTCTAGCAACAGTCAGAGAAAATTCGCGAATTAGATGTAATTAACAATTCTTGGGAACTTTTATAGCACAAAACAGAAACAATTACTGGGCCTTTTACTATAGAACTCCATCAACATCTCAACCACTGATGAGCATCGCCGAGCATAACATTTGCGTTCCAGCAGAGGCAATATATTCGATTGTTTTAATGGGACAAAATCCGGATTGGAGACCAGAAGGGAAAAATCTTTTATTCTCTGTTGTATGAAGGTGAAAAATGGAATACCACACTTGCTCGAAGAAAAAAATTAACAGTGGGATGGAACAGCTGCAAGTTGCAGCACATCTCACATGGAAACACTTGCGGTTCCAATCCGGCGTGAGCGATATTATCAAGACAGTATGTACCAGAGAAGAATAATAGGACTGATCACTTAGCAAGAATGAGAGACAACAAATGGACAAAGCGGATTAGTGAATAGTATCCGCGCAATGCTATAAAAAAATAAGAAGAATCGCCAGTGCTGTGGAAGAACCCATTTGAATGGGTACTTCGAATGGCAGGCCTTTTTGGAAGGTTATCGACGTGTTGAGCAGTCCAGTCAAGGATTGTCGGTTTTTGTCCGGTGCATCTGGCCATCAAGGATCCTCGGATCGATAGATTTGAGATTATCGACGGGTTTAGCGGTTTGAAGAGGTCCAAAATGGAGAAGAATGGAGAAATCGCCAGCAGCTGGATTAATGGCAATAAAAAATGCGGCCGAGAAATAACGACTGATCAAAGTAGCTGTGCTATTGCCCATCTTTTCAGTTCCATGGATGTTTTGAG